TATATATATATATTTATATATATATATATTTATACAGTGTAAATGCTTGGGTTTGATTTTATATGTTTTATATCGCGAATTTATTTTGCTGCTCTTCTGCAGCAGCTTACGCTCATTTCAATTCAGGTGTACGTACACCCCGTCTTATGATTTCTTTATTAATAAATTTAATTTTTTAATAGTTGTTGTCGAGCTGCATGTACAGCTCAATAAATATACAACTAATCTCTAAACCCTAAGAAACATCTTCTATCCGCTACGCCTCCTGAGGGTTTAGGGTTTAGGGTTTCTACTGAAGCCATTAGGGTTTAGGGTTTCTACTAGAAGCATTAGGGTTTAGGGTTTCTACGAGAAGCATTAGGGTTTAGGGTTTCTACGAGAAGCATTAGGGTTTAGGGTTTCTACTAGAAGCATTAGGGTTTAGGGTTTCAGACGAAGCGCTCAAAGACTTCAAAGTAATACTAAATAACAAAACAGCTAATCGCGCATGCAGCAAAATAAGAAATCGAAATCCGCCTCGCTGTCTTGCGCTGCAAAGAAACCCTAAACCCTAAACCCTAAACCCTAAAACGTTAGGGACCGCCCTCTCCTCATACACCCAGTTCTGCTCACCAAGCCAACTAGCCAGCTAGCCAGCTAGCTATATCCTTAGCTAGCCAGCTAGCTAGCCCCTCAGCTAACCAGCTAGCTAGCCCCATGACGCCGATGCGCTAGCTAGCTAGCCAGCCAGCTAGCTACCCACCTAGCTAGCCAGCTAGCTGGTAACCCACCTAGCAATCGAACTACTTATCTAGCAGCTAGCTATATAGCTAGCCAGCTAGCTATATACCCAGGCAGCTAGCTAGCCTTCTAGCCAGCCAGCCAACTAGCTAGCCAGCCAGCCAACTAGCTAGCTAGCTAGCTAGGTAGGTAGGTAGCGATTTAGCTATCATCTAGGACGAAGAAGTTGCCTGCGAGCTTCTGCTCTTTGTCTTTGCAGGACTCGAGTTTATTAATGCGGGGTCTGAAGTTCGTCGGGTCTCGGCGAAATGTAATATTTAAAAGCCGCAGAAATTTGTTCATGCCGTTTACTAAAGACTCCGGCGTAGACGCGCGACAATCCACGCTAAACCACAAACCACAAACCCTAAACCCTAAACCCTAAACCCTAAACCCTAACTCCCTAGTACACCCTAGTACACCCTAGTACACGCTAGTATACCCTAAAACGGTGTTATACCCTAAACCCTAAACCCTTAACTCTTATCCCTATTGTTATACCCTAAACCCTATTACACCATATACCCTAAACCCTTAGGGTTTAGCCCTAAACCCTAAACCCTAAACCCTGAATAAGAGGAAACGGCAAAGTGCATCTCTACCCAGTCGAGCCCCTCCCTCCGCTATTCTCTGCCTGCTGACGGATTAGGGTTTAGGGTTTAGGGTTTAGGGTTTACCCTGGATCCCCATCGAAAACGATTACTCTGTCGGCGAGGTATGTAGCCATTATAAAGTCATGCTCAACTACGAACGCGGTTTTCTTTGCATGCAAAATATACCTGAACAAAACCACAAACCCTAAACCCTAAACCCTAAACCCTAAACCCTAATAATAACCCTTATATACCCTAGTTGTAAACCCTTACAAACCCACAAACCCTACACTCTACACCCTAAACCCCAAATAATAATAGTAATCCTTGTAGACCCTAGTAAACCCTTATACACCCTAGTAAACCCTAATAAACCCTTACAAACCCTAATAAACCCTCATACACCCTAGTAAACCCTTTTATACTCTAGCAAGCACTTACAAACCCTAATAAACCCTTAAAAGCCCTAACAAACCCATATAAACCCTAAACCCTAAACTGTAAACGCGATGCGTGCACTGCCACCAAAACCCCTTAAAAACCCCTCAAAACCCTAAACCCTAAACCCTAAACCCTTGGATTATGTGTGTATTTACCTTTTGATAACTTTACTGGCTGCAATTCTTTGTTCAGAATCTAAATAAGCTGAAGGCTCGTCTATTAAATAAATATCTGCGGGCTTGCCCAATGCGACAATCAGAGCAACTCTTTGTAATTCTCCTCCGGACAGCAGCTGGACTTGTTGATCCATGACCTAAAAAAATATATTTATTAACATTAATATGTTCACGCATTTAATCTGATGCTTTAGAAATACTATTAGTCTATCATTTAACATATATATATATATATATATATATATATACATTTATTTATTTATATATTTATATATTTATTTATATATTTATATATTTATATATGTATATATTTATATATTTATTTATATATTTATATATTTATATATATATATATTTATATATGTATATATTTATATATTTATT